TATGTGAGAATTGATTTAGTGACCTTTGAGCCACGTATTATGCGCTGATGTATTCTACCTGATACAGGCAGCCTCCCGAGGAATCTCGATGTAGGTATACAATTTTTACCTGGTTTTCAATTACTATACTACGCCAAGATTTACAGGTAGGTAGGTAGAGGCACAGTACCTACCTATATGGTGGTCCGTGTTCTAGAAAAAACTTTTTTTTTAATCAGCAGTGACACATTAGGTATTCAATATATGCCCACAAAAATGTCCATATTATAGATGTTTTTTTTTTCATTGAGAACACGTTATATTTGGATTAGTGTGTTTTAATTTGCCCAAGAATTAACACAGCCAAACTTGTTTTTTAATTAATTCGCTGCCAAGTATTACCTAGATTATCATCCTTGTATAAATCATTCAAGGCATTCTGGTAGGGTTTATGAACCTAATTGTTGTGTTATCACGATTGTGATTGTTTATTTTCAATACAATCATAATCTCCACCAGGTATTTTTTCTGATAGATTTTTCAATATACATCAGGGTGTTTCAGATTTTAATCTGGAAAATTCGATAGGCAGGTGTACTCGCAAAAAGAAAAAGAAAAGTTCATGCTATGAACTCATTGTATGTTTTGAAGCTTAATTTTCGAGATACAGGGTGTTGATGTTACTAGTATTGTTTGCCTGTTTCCATTATCACCTTGTATCCATAATGCCAAAATTGAGTGTCACAGACCGACTGACAAATTCTCAAAAATATACTTTATTATAGCTATCTAGAGATCTCAATGGATGTCTTGAAAGAACGTCTCAACAACTAAGCAAGATAAGTACGAATAAACTCATGGAAGAAGAAAGTCGTATCTTCTATTGTTAAATCCATGGACAATAAAAAAATTGGAAAGAGATAATGGAGCACAATGATTTTTACCATAAATATCAATGGGGTGAAATTGAAATAATTACGGTAAATTTAGTTAGGCCAAAAAGAAAATGTCCATATTATATACAAACAAACTTGCTAAGGTTAAAGAAAGAAGAGTTTTTGAGCTGTGAATGAAAAACGATTTTTCCCAAAAAATTTCCAACACCTTGTATGTATGTGGGAAACGAAGCTACCGGATCACAATCTGAAACACCTTTCATAAAAGATAAATTATGTAAACGCAGAACAAACGAAAACCTATCTTCAAGATCAGGGTAGTCTAACTATACCATCGATATAATTATCGCAAGAATTATCTCCATTTTTATTTTTGTTTTATTTATTTATTTATTTTATTTACGGGAAACCCCTATTACCAGTTCAAGTAGTACAATATGAATATAATAAATATACACCGTGTCTTAACACCGACCTTGACACATACTTATAAATTATCGAAAATAAGAAAAAAATCATGAAACGAAATAGGAAAGTAACACTTGAATCACCTCGTGAATTACAAACGAGTAGGTAGGTATTGAAAAACGTTTATACACTATCACGCAAACATCTTAAACTTATCAAATGAGCATCCTAATACATCTGAATTGATGTTTTTTTTTTTAATTTTTATTTAAAATTTTCGATCTTACAGTAGATCTTTATCTAGATCTGTATTGAGTGTGGAAAATCGAACCTTTAATTTCTTCATGATCGGATTTCCCCTTTTAGGTACCTATTGGAGCAAAATCCATTAAAACGTTCGCGGAAGATATAAAGGGATTACGTGAAATTGTTCGAAAATTTAAAAAGTTCAAAGATGGTCCGGTTGAATATTAACAAAAAAAGAGAAAAAAACTTCCTGATTTTAAGGTTTGTATTGTATAGTAGTCTCGGTAGCAGTAATATTTTAAGAGTGAAAAGTGCAATTCGAACCAGATTCCTGTGTTTATTTATATTCTCGATTTTCTTAGTGGAATACACCTTCTGGGTGCTCTCTAGTCTTGGTCATTGTTTTATTCTTTGACGAAATAGAATGTGACGACCATAATAGATGAGAATAAATTAATTAGTTCTTCATCAAGAATCGCCCAATTTATCATCGGCTTTATCATTCTCGTAGGTATAAATCTTTCAAGGAATCCTAGTGTCCAAACCTACTCGAAATTTGCCTAATTGTGTTGTCAACAAAGAAATACTGGTGACTGTTCATTCTATTAATCTCTACTAATAATGTATTAGCTGTCGTTCATTAAGAAGGCTTCTTGATGAGTTTCAATAATTAAAAAATGTAGATAAGTACTCAGACACATTCAAATTATTTCTTATTATCAATAATATTTCGAAACATTTGTTTTGACTCATTACAGTAACGGATTTCGTCAGGATGTTTTTTGGTGTCATTTGCATATTGTGTAATAGGAATAAAGACTTACATACCAGCTCTGGCTTCGAATATGTCTTTTATTCGCTTTTATCACACAGTTTCAAATTCAAATCATCTCTAATTCGGTCAACTGCGATTCCACATAATTATACAGGGAGTTCCTCACTGATAAGCTAATTTACCAGGGCTGATTATTAGACCCATTTCAAGAATTGACCTTCATATGAACGTATCTCGTGATCGTCCTAACTTTTGAGATACAGGGTGTCAATGTTGAAAATATGCATAGATTCCTTTTTTGTCCACCCTATATCTTTTCGTGATGGCAAAATTCAGTCTGCTATGTGACTGAATGAGGATGAAAATTTCAAAATGTTACATATTGTGGTTATGTGTGAAGTCTGGTCTCGTATTTTCCGATTTTCTCTAAAACGAAGCGTTTTATCAAGTATCAACAAGAGGATGTTTTTTGCTCGGTTTTTTGTTCATAATTGAATAGCCCTTCATAGCATTGTACGAAATTTGAAAATGTTCCGTCGCTGCTCACTTTTAAGTGAAATATAAACAATAATATTCCCGTAACGGTGCCACTGGTAGAGAAAATGAAAATTTGGTACATCAGAAAATGCACCTTGATGCATAAAAGAAGTGTACCAAATTTCATGAAGATGTATACAATATTGTCTCAGTTATTATAAAAAAACTGAATATTTTTCAAAACTTCATCACCCTGTATCTCAAAAGTTAAGACTTTTAGGATATACGTTCATATGAAGTTTCCTTCTCAAAATGAGTCAAGGAATCACCTCATCAAATATTAGCATGTCTTTGAGGAATACCCTGTATATCAGCTTCAACCTAGTTTTTTCGTTTACACTTTTTCATGTGTCCGTTTTTTATTTTTATATTTAATCTATGCCTTATATTACCTACTCATGCCAATTAGAGTATCCGCAAAGGTACCTACACATATTAAGCCTCGCATTAAGCATATTCATTTCCTGATAATTGATTGGGAGACAGGTGCATAGCATGAAAGTGAGGGGAAGACACTAAAAATCGTTAAACAGCAGTTGTAAGGCTTCCTTCCACTGGCATTATATTTCACTTTTTTTCTTTTTACACTTTGATGGACCTCGATATTGCATGATACCGCGACATTCTCAGTTACTATATACAAGGAGCGATCAAATGTTTACTGCATCCCTAAATCTTCACACCTATAGGAATGAGTGTATTAGCACCTACCATCATGGTTTTTTTTTTTCATTAAAAAGCGAGTTCAGATATTATGTCTAGTAATGATTTTACAAGTTATTGTATGTAGTATTTATGCGGGTTTTTCTTAGGAATACGGAACAGAAGTTGGAATTGAAACAGTTTCGGACAGATGTCCAGATGACTATAACCATATGTCACATCAGACTGAAATAATGAGTAATCTCGGCGCAGCAGCATTCCTGAAATTTTGTTTATGTTCAAGACTAATGCTAATTGCCCAATATTCAATTTTAAAATACATTCTCCATTTGCTTTCCTCTAAGAATAGATGCAATACAGAATCCATTCGAATGAATATTATCATCATCTCCGTAGTAAATAAGAGTCATGTCAGAAACGGAAAATATTTGTGGACTGGGGTTTTTTAATTACTCTGTATTGAAGTAGATAGGTACCTAAATAAAGTAAAATGATGAACATATTTTATACAAAAGCCAATACAGAATTTAAACAAAATTATAAAGTTATTGAGTGGAATTTAAAAATGTAGCTAGATATTTTAGCTCATTTATGAACGATATGCCTACTTATCTTGCTACTTATTATCTACTAAAAATTTGAATTTTCCTTTCAGTGGCAACAAATTTGCAAGTCAATGTGAAAGACAAACTATATGTTCCTCTACCATACCCACATTATTTAGTGTTCTACTTTCTATTAATAACTGAAGCTTAACAATCAAATTGGGCATATATAAATATAAACAAACAACTTTTTATTTTTATACAAACATGGAGAAAGAAATTCTTCAATCAGTTGTTCATTCTTGCATTCGAAGACGAAGATAAATATTGGTTAAAGTGAAACTATCGGGTTTTCGTTATGTTTGGATGGTTAATTCGCGAACAAAGAATTATACTTAGACCACTCAATCAATAACTGATGTTATTTTCAATGTCACCCAGTATTTTAGCCACCACGAAACCAAACAGCGCCATTTGATGACCTTATCATACAGTGAGCTCATAAAATTTGAGCAAATTCCATGTTACGAGGGCTTCACGAAAACTAACGTAGATTCATAGTTTGTATGCATATTCACCACTTATACTTGAAGAAGTCAGCCAGTCAGCTAATGTTTGCGAAATATATGACTAACAATGCATTGCATAGAATTTCAAAAATCCATTAAGTTTATAATTTTATGTATCAAAAAAATCTCAAGACACAATATTCTCGTTTCAGATACAAGTTACCAACTGTCGAGACCAGCTAGGACTTCGGAAACGTCATGACAGTATCAGCTATGACAGGATCTGAGGACAGACCGAACACACTGGAAAATACTCCACAATGAACGCAAAAGTAGACATAAAAAATTCGAAGATAAAATAAAACATGAAGCCAGAATATGCGGAGCTGCGTCAGTGATAAAAATCACTGGTCACCTCCGGTCACACAAATGATTCACAAACATGTTGAAACATATAACGAATGGAGGCATCTCCAACTCCAATCGAGGTTCGAGACAGGACAGCTCCATAATAGTGGAGCAAAGAATGGACCCAGGTCCGCACAGATACCGCTCCCCCAATGCCAACAGCTCGAGAATATCCCAGCAATATCCCCTGAACGTCTCCCAACTCCACTCGGCTCTGGACACCTCGAAGCACTCGATCTACAGCAACAACGTGCTACCTCCCGGAAACAAATCCCTGAACGGAGGGTTGAACATATCGAGAGTGCGCAACCAGAGCACCGTCAACAAATTCATCGCTAAGTCCAAAGAAGTGGGTGTCAAGGAGATGCTAGTGAGCCTCGGCCTGCTCTGCCTCGTCAGCCTCCTGTTGGCGCTTCTATCGCTGATCTTTCTCTTGAAGATCTCTCCAGTGACGGCTAATGACATTCGTGAGTTGTTGAGATCCGAACAGCTAACTGTGATTACCGCCGAGGAATATGTGGTTGTGTATGAAGTGACATTGGCATTGTGTGCCCTAACACTGTCCTTGAATTTGTGCTGCCTGCTTGTGTGCGCTATTCAATTCTTGTTTGCTGTTAAATTGGTCAAGAGTCCCCATGGAGGAAGTGATAGGTATGTTATTGTGTAGTCGTTCATCATTATTTTATGTTCGAAATGGTTACATTGATACGTTGACGTGCATTGGGATATGGGATAAGTAGGTACCTATCATTATGGTGACGGCTGTCGTAACAATAGCCGCATCGTAAATCAAACTTTATTAATTTATGTTTTTTTTGCAGTTATATAAAAAACTTATATGTACGTGCCTGTACTGTGACTTGTGAATCTGTAACAAGTGGCAATCTTATTGTGGTCATTAGTTTTTGCTTGGTTTTTGCATTCAAATTTTACAAAACGTGCTTGGTGGTTATTCTGTTTTTTTTTGTATAACCAATAATAACGACACATTCTATCATGAATAGTTCTGGTCTTGCGATTCTTTCCTCTTCTCTATATTTCGCGATATATTTTGTTTATTTAAAAACATGCAGAACTCACCTCGGAACTCACCTTTTTATCTTCATACCTTGCAGTCCAGTCCAGTCACTCCAGTCTAGTATGTACTGTACCTCGTGTACTACATGAAAAACATATATAATTTCTTCTGCAAAAACCAGTCAACTAAAAATGCTCTAGTTGGTTACCAATAAAAGTGAATAAAATATTACTTCTTACCAATAACTTTCGAAATGTTTCCACATAAACCAACTATCACTAAAGCAACCATTTTCTTGAAACGAAACCGAGATAGAAACAATTGACAAACATAAAACTTGGCAAACTAAGAACTCTGAGAACAATACTGTGAGAAATGCCTAAAATGATCAGTGTTCTTGTTCTGTGACAGGAAACTGCCGTACCTACTTTCGCACTTTAATTTTTTGAGGTTATGCTGAGAGCAGTACTCGTGTAATAGTACCAGTACCAGAATTATTAATTACCATTTACCTAAGGCAGAGATTCTAGTCTAGGGTCAAGGGCTTCACATGGTCGATTAGTCGAAGTTATCGAATTATCTTGTCCCGAAATAGATACAGTCAGATGCAAAGAACAAGTCGCCGTTGGATGGTGTTAGCGCTCTTATTGCAGACGTTCAAAATTTCACATGCACCCTGTATAGGTATGGGAATGCTATTTTCCGTTTTATTTATTATCCATACCAAAACCTCAAGCATCTGGTCTATTTGATGCTGCGTTTTGATTGCATTTATTACTGATTGGTAACTGTACACCAGCTGTATTTGTACAGAGTGGTCAGTTTTTACTTTTCAATCTGTAGGAGTCGATGGCGCACTTCAAAATGATATCGTTACCCATAACACTCCTCTCGTTCTCAGCAATATTTGGCATATACTTATCATTTGATCATCAGGGGTAATTGCCCAGGGGCGAATTCAGAATTGGGGGCGAAAATTTTGTGAATAAGTATCATAATAAAGCAAATAGACAAAAGAATTACTCAGTGATCAAGGATTTTATTCATTTGACGATTATATTAATTATAAGAAAATAAAGAAGATCGATGTATTCTGTATACAGGGTGTCCCATCGGGGACTGGACAAATTTTAATGGTGAGTTGGGTCCAATCAACTCATTCTGAACTGTATTACATGTGGTAGCTTTCTGTTCCAGCAATTTTGGGACACCCTGTGTATCGAACAAATATCGAATTTTTACTCAAAAATATACATTCGAAGAAGGTAATTTATATAGAATTAATCTTATTATGACTAGCCCTTCAAGGGCCTAGGATTGATTATATAAATAACTTATTTTCGAGCTTATTTTACATGTTCTATAGACTCCTGAAGTAGAGGTAAAAACTGAACGACCATCTATATTCTTGTGAAATACATTCACAAGTAGGAGTTGATATTGATTTATTGCACATTGCATGATAGATAGGTCCCTACTTCTTGGACCACAGTTCCACGGCCCACATAAAAACGTGATAAAAGACGGAAACAATATGTTTTTGTTATATTATCATAAACTGCATATCATTCATTCCTCCCATTGCTTTATTCCAACCTAAGGATAAGCTTTGAATCGAATTGGAGGAATCTAACAATGATCTATTATCTAGTCTAGTCAGATTATTCAATAATTCAAAGCCTTTGTATAAAGTTGTTTTATTGTGATAGCGCTAATACATAGATATAGTTCAGCTGATGATTCTTAATTTGTATCCCATGAACTGAATGGACTCTAGTTACAGAACGTCAAATTTTTCCCATAGTCTCGGTACTTCCGTTCGAATGTATTAAGTTAATTACACTCTATTTAACACATTATGAAGCTGCTATAATCATCATTGAATCGGAAAATATTATTCAAATCTAGCGAAATGGTACTAAACACGCGATTTTGATGGAAAACTAATTTCATGGTTCTGTTCCTCTATTGGTAGTTTACTATATATTACATCGAACAACAATCTACCAAAACTCGTTCGTTTATAGAACGGCGAAGCGTTGGAATTCTTTGCCAATGGAAGTATTCCCAAAAACTTATAACCTCTAAAAGTACAAAAAAAATCCAACACCTACCTCCTCTTCCTATCCTCCCTAGGTACGCACCATGTTCCATGAACATTATAAGAATTTCCTTTCGTGCGCTCCAATAGATTGAAAAAATCTGAAAATACGACTTTTCTATTTTTTCTAATGCTCAACATTTTTCATCATATAAAAGTTTTTACAAAGGTAAAACCAAAAACCCTAGCCTATATTGGATGTCAGTACCATGAAATATGTGTATCTATCTACTCAGGTTAGATCTCCCTGGAAAAATATATTTTTGCAACTGTTCCACCATCTCCAAAACTTGAGCCATAAAGCATACCAATACCACAACTGAAAACAAAGTACTTTGGTATATCCCTCATGGCCTAGTAATAAGAAGGTACCTACCAATGAGTGGTTATTTTATTGTGATCAAATTCCACGAAATATCTCTGTATAATGTATAATCATTTCATTTATATTCATGGTTTTTTGTTCTTGCAGGACCAATAAATACCTTCAGAAATCCTCAGTTAGTAGAGTCTGTGCTGTAGGGGGATTCTTCATCTCAATTCCAGTATTTTTAACAGGTGAGTCAGGACATCAAAATGGATGCCACTAACAGCTTCTTCTCTAAACCTCATCCAAGTAGGACTATGGCAATCATTCATATTTCCAGGTATAATTCTGTACACGTTCATCCAATTCCATTCCACCCCCGCCATCGTCACCAGCGTCTTCATAGGCTTAGGCATCATCTTCTGCGGCTGCGCGATGGTGCACAACGTATTCATCTGGCAAAAGGAGAAGACCAACGCGGTGCGCGAGCTGGCCCTCCAACAGCACGAGACCAGCCAGCACCACAACTCCTTCCACAGCGTTACCTCCGCTTTGCCCAACCACTCCCACGTGAGCACTTTCAACCACAGCTTCGGGCACCCGCTGGCCGCCCACAACGGGCCTTACCTGCTCAGGCCCTCGACCACCACGCCGCCTACTGGCGAGAACCTGAACCTGGCGAAAATGTCGCACACGCACCCCAGGGAGGCAAGCGGTTCCGTCAGTCCCGGCATGCCCACGGTCAATATGGATATGAGCAGCGTGGGTACCACTAACTCGCCACACGAGTTGTCCACGCTAGTGTGATTGATAGTTGATACTTGGTGTCTCGGTGCGATCCGAAATAATAATGAAATTATGATACCTACTCGCAGCGTTGCCGTTATCAGATTGTTCAAATACCCCTGCAGGGAGATTCTATTTCACGAATCGAGTCGAATTCGCCATCTTTATTCGATATTTGGTATTCTGTTTCTCGATTGAATCGTGTAAACTCGACTCGATTCCTGGATAGCTCAAGAGGAGTATAGTCAATGCGTTTCGTCAATCTATCCTTATCTATCATCGAATGTTTCTTGTCATCTTCATCCCAGTTTGAGGTTAGATCATCTTGTTTATGTGAAAGCACAGATTTGAATGTGTGTAATCAAATTATTACTTCATAAATATAATGTATAATTAATTTTCGATGTCGTTCAAACTCAGAGAAGCCCACTGGGAAAAACATTAATAACATTTTTAGAAAAGCACAGAACATTGCCACGGCCACAGGATGATTTTCAGAGTCTAATGATCGTGAAACCAATAAAAAAATCTTAATCAGGCTAAGCCAAGTAAATTCATCATATAGTTGCATAAAACCTCAGTGCACAGAATATGTGAGATTCTGTATACCGATTCCTGACCTATTCCCTTCATACTTTGACCTATCCACTAATAAGTGGGGTCTCAATGATTGTATCAGAAGCCAAACCAATCTTTTGTTCAATCTAAATAGCTCAATAAATCATTTTTCAGGTAATGAAAAAGGATTAGGTGGGTACCTACTTCTGTTTCATATTTCTTGTCGTCCGACGAATTTGATCCAAATTTCTTTGCCTATCTTTAGCTGCTGAAATACCATCTCGACTCGAACAATTAGAATAATTCTTATTTTTGTCTTAGGATTGCAAAAATTGGAATTCATAAAAACAATTTAACCACCATAACCTCAAATTTGTGATGGCTTTGGGGCCATGGCCTCGGTGCTCGTTTCATTGAATCAAAATCTCATCCCATTTCGCCAAAAAACCGACGATTTCCGAAGTCGAATTCGATCGCTACTTGATCGAGAAATAAAATAGGAAGTGAATTCAACTTCGAGTTCATCATGGTATCGTACGACAATCGACGATCGTGAAACAGAATCCCCCTGCTGAAATGAACCAAAAACGCTCACACCACAGAAATCATTCTATTTATGCTTTTGCCACAGCTTTCACCCACTTTCTGCTTTGATCACCGTGGGTGCCATCACTGACCTAACTACTATCTAGACCGCTCGATGTCATATCTCTGAAACCGCTTCTGCTCAATGCTCAGTAACCACCAAGCCAGAGCCGTTCATGACATCGAGCATCGAATCATTGTTGGTGTTCGAAAATATAAGTAAGAGCGAGTAAGATGTATGACAGGTCCTAAAAGTGCATGATTCATGTTTTCCAGTTCGATCTTGTGAGTAGCTTTCAGCTTCTTTTTTATGGCATTAGCGGGCCAGATAGTAGTTTATGTCAGTGTTGTTTGTGGCATTATGTCACAGGTCACACGGTCACTCTAGGTCACCACAGAACAAGTCTACAGAATCGTTGTTCTGAGATTTCATCAGGTTCACAGAAAATTTCAAATTATAAGGTATCAGTCACTATTTTCTTAAATTTTCAATATTTGGAGTGATTGAAATGCTCACGAAATGCTCACTTGAGGTCAATGCTCACAGTTTTACCTCATAAATTCCCAAATGCTCACCGATGTGAGCAAATGATCACACATCGGCAACGCTGCACTCGATTCGATTAGAGTGACTTTATAAAACAGAGTGGCAACAAGTGAGGTGTTTTTTTGATTGGTCAGACCTCTAATATGGAGGTGGATCATCCTGTCTTGTTTTTTCCATTAGCTTCAATTCTCTATTTTACTTTGCCAACGCTTCGTCACTGTTTCTGAAACTCTATAACGTCGCTACCTTGGATATTAACTATCAATGGTGGAATCAGTCTTTTGGGGCTGGTGAATCTTAGATTATTTAGATGATGAAATGAAAATATGAAATATCTAAACCTAACAGCAGGTGGGTACTTCGAAGGCGCAAATTCATTACTGCATGTGAGATACCCTTCCGATTTTCAGCTATTCAGTGACTTGAACACGAATGACATTCCGGAAACGGCAGCCATCTTGAGGTCTATTGTCGCCAGTCGCCACTCTATTCAATCTACTCACTCTAGGTACGATACGATCCGAGAATAATTAACACGTACCTAACTTCAGTCACTGGTAAAAAAAACGAACACCAAGAAATTTAGTCAAATTGTTTGCCCTGTATCTTTTCTATTTCCTGTCCGATTCTGGTGGAATTTCGACCAAATCGTATATTCATGTTTCGGAATTTTAGCCTGGATATTGGTTCTTTAGAAAAGCTGAAGGCTTGATTAAAAGGAAAAACAAATGTTAATCTTCCACTCTTGAATTATTAACGCCCTGTGGCAAAAGTGAGTGGTTCATTATGTCGTTAATTGAATTGTGGTCCCTTCTTAACACAATGGTTTTTGATTCACGTCGATAATCACTTTTTAAGCGAAGATACAAGTATTTCAAGAGAGTACGGATTTTTTAAATTTATACTAGAATTTTTATTGACAATAATTCAGAACCACTCTCCAACCATCTGCTTTATCATATTTTGAATGAAAGTGTGATCCATTTTAGCCGCTTCCATTGAATTTTGGAATATTCAAAGTTGGCAACCTGTACAGCAGAAACCAATTGATTGGTCACAGGGTCATATAATCAAATTCTGAATATTTAATATTCTGACAAAGTAGCACCCTGTATGGTATATTTTTATTTATTATTGAACTGAATTCCCTATCCTCATTTTGTTAACTTCTCAGACAATGTTGTTTTTTTACCATATGGTATTTGAGGAATTCCAAGGAGAAAAATAGCTGAAAAAATAAATCCCAACCAGATGTGATACAATATTTACAGGACATAAATTTCGACATTAACACCTACTGTATAAAATATGCAGATGTTGGTGACCAGTTTACAGAAGAGCATTTCTTGCAATAAGTTTATTATGGAACAAGGTGAAGAGTTCAGGTTTTGCATAATTAAATCTTTGAATTACATTCATTTCCTGAAAGAACTCGCAATTTATCGTACATTTTTTGTTCCTATAGAAATTGAATCTTGCCCATACATTTTCTGTTCTATTCATATTTATTCTTATTAATATGGTGATTCAAACATTTATTGCCCTCACTCTAGAATTGGGATTTGACACTGTGCATTTTATTGTACAACTAGCTGACCGGCCCGGATTCGCACGGTTGGTGTAAGCCCATTAAAAAAAAAACAACTACCCGTTGTCAGCATTTTTTCGCGGTAAAAAGTAGCCCATGTTCATCAGGGATAATGGCGGCTGGTAATGGTGAAAGAATTTTTCAAATCCCTCAAGTAGTTTTGGAGCCTATTCAATACAAACAAACAATCAAACCTTTCCTCTTTATATATGGACATGAAATCCATTAAAATGTCCTAATTCAAGTTGCAATCTTGATTTTCGTACAGAATATTGTGCAAACAAATGCATAGTGTCATACTACGATCATTTTTTTTGCGAAAATTTTGTACTTGAAACATTTTGGATCAGATAATCTTCTCGAATATTCAAGAATATACGAGGTGATTAGAAAATTCTCGAATTGAATATTTGTAATGTTGGTCATCATAATTTATACTGTTTTAATTTCTATTGTGATGTATTCTATTAGAGATTAACACTCCTAAGTGTCAATTTCAGTGGAATTGAAAAGACTTTCTAATTTATTTCAATGTACCAGTCATGTTTCTTGTCACTGTTGTATGTACACTAGTTGTAAGTTGTAATAATTATTATGTATATATGATTCATTTTTATTTAAATCCTAATTGTTCAAAGTGGCAAGAGGGTATTTAACATTCTGTGTATATAATATGCTTTGATTCAAAAAAATATGTTCACGATCTAGCTTGATGAAGATATTTTTATGTTCTCAAAGAACAGTTAGTACAAAAACATCACTCTTATATCCCCCTTAACTTAAATAATTTTAAATATGTATATATTCTCTGATGAATATTTTTATATCCATGATCCTTGCCTTATACAAAATGAACTATATTATATATATATATATTTTTTAAAACAAAAATGAGTTTCATTTCGATGATAGGTTACTAAAACAATGATATTTCTTGGGTTCTTTACTTGAATAATATGTTGTGATAATAATTTAAAATATAATGTGAATCAATTGTGTATGTAAAGGGATCGTCAAAAACTTTGATGCAAACTGACCTAGTTGGTAACTTCTGGAGACTATTTATTATTAAGTTAATACAAAAAATAAAGCTAAGGAATAAAGCAGTCTTATTCATAACAACCATTAGTGACACAAATTCAAACACTTCTATTTGCCATCATAATCTTAACAAAAAAAATAGTATCACTTCAAAAGTAGCTTCATTGACTAGATTAACACTGGCAGTAAATAATAGAGCAGTTCAGCTACCGTTGAGAGAGAAACAAAATGTCTTCCCATCTGTCCTTGTCTTCAGTGTTCCAACATGAAATAATGAAAATGTTATGTTGCCAACACTGGAAATGAGAAGAAATGGAGAAGAAGACCGTTCTAACCTTCTTTTACATCGAGGTTAATATGATATTCGTCTCCATTTTTTCCCATTTCCAATGATGCCAACATAATATTTTCATTATTTCATGTTGGAACACTGAAGACAAGGACAGGTGAGGAAGACATTTTTTTTCTCTCTCAACGGTAGCTGAACTGCTCAATTGTTCAATTATTACAAAAACCGTCAAACACGTCTCATTTATATAGAAATGAAATTATTGCAACATAGTTACTAATATAACAAATACATATTTATTACCATAATAATACTGGAAATAATACATGTTCATGCATATCCCAGAATTTTTAGAAGCATGTTAACCAAGATTCTTTGGTTTATTTTATTTCATTTGGATATATGGATTTCTGAAAATTTATTATTATAAAGAGGTGAACTGCGCAATATTCCCAGTCCAGAACTAGACTATGATGATTTTTGTTGAAAGTTGTTGAGATTCATGATTTCCTAGATGGTTAATATTAATACTGTAAACATGCTGCCTCAAAATCACAAAAATACTTTTTGGCTTATAATAACTACTGTGAGCTGGGCCACTAGCTTACAACTAATTTAATTCAAATTATTATAAAGGGCTCAAGACAATCAAATCATAGTCAATATAAAAAAAACGGTAAAACTTCATTTAGCATGCGATGGGTTTTTTTTCGAAATTTTTTTTTGGTACTTACGTATGTTTATCTGAAAAACACGAATTTGATAATGAAAATGTGAACAAACCATTATTTATTAAGATATTTCACTATAAAGTTACAAATTTCACCTTCTTTTCCGCCTGTCTTCTGGATTGAATTTAAAACAATTTACCCTTCTTTTTTCATCATTGGACAATTTATATATATCACAATGTAAGACACATTTTTTTCTATTATTGAGTCAACTAGGAATATGATTTTCTTGTGATATCTCCATATTTAGTGAAAAGAAGGAAGAATATCATTTAAAATAATGGCGTGTGTAATGTCATTTAAAAGCACTCTGTTGACATTTGACATCTCGTATTTGGATTGACTATTAATTAAATGGCCGTCATCTGGTATGCTTGTTCACTGAATATGGAAAACTCGCCATAAAAATCATATTTCCTGTTGAATTTTCTGTATAAAAATGTGTCATTGAAGTACATCATGAGTATATAAAGTGTCCAATGACAAAATGAGAAGAGCAAGTACCTGTAAATGCATCCAACACAAGGGGAAAAAGGAGTCGAAATTTCGAACTTTTTTTTAAATATCTCGATAAATAGTGGTTTTCACATCATTGTCAAATTCGTGTTTTTCAGTCAAAAATACGTGAGTACCAAAAAAAATTTCGAAAAAAAAAACATCGCATGCTAAATGCAGTTTTACCAAAAAAACGGCCTTTGGTGGGTTATCAATTTTACAGCTTATTTTTCAATGATTATTGAAACAAATTCAATTTTAGTAAAGATGAATACAGGGTACCTGGTAAATATTCACGAAAGTGAAGGTAATTTGTTCCTAGTTATTTCAGTGCTGATTTTTTTTTGCCTTGAAAGACCTAAATCATTTTTTCAAGTTATTCAAACTATTTGTTCATTGATAACTTGCCCTGCTCTCCTACAAGTAATAGCACTATTTGGTGAACGATAATATTCAACCACAGCAGTCTTACAAATCCCTTTACATAGTTATCCACATAGAATTTACTATAAATAGTTAAAACACAGCCAAATTAACGAAAATTAAACTAGCAGGATCTCAAACAGCCCACAGTGCTTCCATGGAATATCCAACAAGTCATTGCTTAAAAAACCTTACTAATTCCTAGACTTGCTTTTCCACGAGGGCACTGTGTAACTTCAAAGACAAGGTAAAAAAAGCTACTAACGTGTTTTTGGTACAGCCGAGAAGCTCTTTAGCATGGACCTTTTAGGCTTCTCTCTTTTTTTTTCAGGGTACTTGTGGTAGACCTGCTTCATTTCAAAACAAACTGGTGAAAATGCCTCTGCACTGGCAGTTTGACGTTTCCTCATGTTGTTGCCAGTGTAAGCTACACCACGCATTTGGTACTCTTGGGTATCATTGTTCCACATCAAATGGGACAGAATTTTTTTCTAGAAAAAAAAAACAAGATGACAATTTGTTATCCACACCACATTTCCTTCTTACCAAATATTCCTGTGGAACATAGTTATCAATTATAAGATTAGCAAGTTGTGTTTCTCTAACAAGCAGTTTGTTATTGTCAAAAAGTGCTTCTAAATCTCGTTGGTATTCACGTTCTTTATCAGAATGATCTTCTTTGGCTTCCTTGATAAACATCTGGATTTTCTTCAGCTTTTTGGAGAGACCTGCATCTTCTTCTTGGAGAGAAGAGTACTGTTCTTCAACATCAATTTTTTCTACAGCTTTTTTGTTCAATTGCTCTTCTAATTGTTGGTGACTTCTATCTAGATCTTCCAGTTCAGCTGCAGATGATTCCAAGGAAAACATTTGTTGCTGAGCTTTTTCCAGTAGATTTTCTCCCCCAACTAGGATTTTCTTCTGAATGAGGGCCATTTTCTCTTCTAGTTCTAACTTCTTTCTCCTAAGATGATGAAGACAGGGCACAGGCATTAAAAATAAATCAAATATCATCAACTCCAAACTTACTCAGTTATTTCTATTTCTATAGCTGTTTGCTTCAATTTTTCCTTCTCTACAGCACTTACAGCTCTTTCCCTTTTTTTCTGAAACAAAATATTAAACAGTAAATGAGGGCTATGAGGCAATCAAACTGAAACCATAATATACCTGTTCTTTCTTCTGTTCTAGCACAGACAACTCAGTGAGTTTTTGTTGTAATTCAGCAATTTCTAGCTCAAATCCTTCAATAAGACCTTTTTCTTCAACATTGATCTTCACACAGTTCTTAATATACTTCACTCTAGCAGCATAACGTAAAGTACACATACTTTCTTCAAAATCTATATCAGCTGGACTCACCATAGCAATCTGAAGAATATTTACAATGTTCATTATCAAATATTTTGTGTACCTATACTAACCATGGCAGTTTTTGAATTTCCTCCTAGGGAATCTTGGAGCAACCTGGTCAATTTTGAATTTCTATAGGGTATGTGAGTACTTTTGCCATCCACAAGTGCTGAAATGACATTTCCCAGTACAGACAAAGACAGGTTGATATTGCTAGCTTCTCTGAGCCTCTCACCAGTAGCTTGGGTTCTACTGGCTCTCTCAGATCCCTGAAAATATGTTTATTGAACTGCTCAGAGATTCAGTTGTCTTTACTTACAGCTAGATCAACAAGGTTCAGCTTCCCTACTGTTGTTTTATTATCTAATCTATTTTTTGACTCAATTGTAACAGTGAATATTGCATGAGATCTGCTACTAATATCATTCATCAATGTGGATTTGGTTACTCTGTTTTTGTTCCCTCTATTCAACAACTCTGTTATAGATTCTATAGAATCCACAGTGAAGCCCATGAGATCCTTGACATATACACCAATATCTTTCCTTTCTCTAATGGCTAGTTTTTTGTTCGGATCTCCTGATAACAAGTCTCTTACATCTTCATTATAAATCTCCAAATAAGTTACTTTCACCACAAAGGATTTTTCACCACTAGCTCTAGAGATTTGACTGAATATGTGAGAGAATGTGTTGGGAATTATGCCTTTCAGTTCTGGAACCAAATGGTTACCAGCCATAGTGTAGGTTTTGCCAGTGCCTGTTTGTCCATAAGCAAATATTGTGCCATTGTAACCTTCTAGTGCTTTTTCTACAATAGGGAAGGCAATCATTCTATACATGTCCAGCTGAAACCAAGATATGAACAAAACAATATTGGAAAATTGAAATGGATTTACTTGAGCAGTGGTTGTTCCAAATATATGATCGAATTTGAAGGGTTTGCAATGTTCTCCATTCTTTTTCAAGGCAATTAAATTTTCTTTGTAATCACATACTGTAATATTTTCATTTCCATCTGCAACTTCCTTTTTACTAAGTGGACGAATTCGTATAAACACTCGTACATTTTCTTGAGATTCCAAAGTATCACCATTGAAATTTTCCATTTTCTGAAAATGATTGGATTGGAATTAGGTATTTGAAGAATATTCTATTTCTATTTACCTTGGATGTCACAATGGTTTACCTTGAATTCTATTTGCTTAAGGCAAATATTAAAGTAAATAAAATCTCTCAAAATACTTCACATTATTACATCTTGGCTTCTTGATTCATTCCTTATCCACTTCTCCGTTCTCAGTTTCTCACAACATTGGTTGACAAATGTCAAAAATATCAAAAATCGATCATCATAATCGCATAAAATAATCCTACTATGGAAACAGGTTGCTAACAAATACAAATACATCCACATTCCTTTCTGAAACGAATGTGAAAGCTAATAATCTATGACATGGACGTCCATGATCTATGATAAAGAATGGAAATTCATAAATTCATATTGCACAAAGATTATAGACAAAAGATTTGGTATTTTTCAACAAATTTAAATCCTTATACTAGGAAAGGAAACATCACCATGTCATCCATGGAGTACCGTGACTTGCACATTCATCAATAGGTGGCGTGAGCGAATGCAATTTTAGTTGCATACATCTCAGGGGCACACCTGAATTTAGGCCCTTTCTTTTGTACGAAAAGTGTAGCACATTCGTACACTTCGTGTAATTTACACCGAATTTGAGCATTCTTTTGAAAAGTGCATTTCACACCAGTGTAGTTTATCTCCAGTTTATCTCCACCTAGTCTTGGGCAGGTGTGAACTACACTCAAATTCAAGAATATATAAAATCACTCGGAATACATCTGTGATTATATTTATAATACATAAATACAAAAATCAAAATTGCACTCTTCCTCTTCAATTCAATTTTCTTCGTTCCTTTGAAATTCCTTGGTGTAGTTGCACGAAATATCAGCTGATTCATAGTGCAGTGCATTTTACACGACACTGAAAAGCAGACTCTCTACTGTGCTCCTACACTTCTGTTTGTAATCTTGATAATGAAATAGGATTTGAGGAAAAATGAAGGCTTTCGTGAAGAATTTTTTCAACAAATTTATTTTAAGACGTAATTTCTTAACAAGAACACATAACCTGCACAACTTTTAGACTGCTTTTGCTTGAACAAATAAATTATAAAATTCATATTCAACATCAATTTGTGAATATACACTAAATGAAAGAAATGAAATTATATTCCTAAATCTTCTTTGGTTTAGGTTTCTTTTTAGCATTATTAATACTCTGAACGATTTGATCGATCTGAGCATCATAATAATCATCATTCAGAGTCTTGTCATTGCTTGAAATTTTCGGAATCAAGTTCGTCAGAGCACTGATATTGAAATTAAATTTCTCCTTCAAGAAACTACCAACAACTTCTATATTATACGCTGCACATAATACTGCAAAAATAAACAATAAGCTCCAAATGGAGGTACGCTTGATAGGTTGCTCAGAAATATTATCTTTCACAGACACATGGAACTCAATAAGCTTAAACGACTCATTTGCACCAAAATGGTACAATTGAGGCTGATACTTTGTACTCTGCAAGAAACTGGATTCTAATTGAACGGTGTAGAGCTTATTGTCTATAGGCACCGAGGAAAGATGAACCAGAATACCAGGGTTTATAGCTTTTGTGAGCCTGAGAGACAAAGAATCAACTTTGACTGTTTGAATCACAGCAGAGGAACCCGATTCTCTTGCCAATTTAAGCTTGAGAGATTTATAATGATCGATATTCTCTGCGTAAATCCTGACCAGGATGTCCATTTGGGATGCTGGCCTGAAAATGATAAGACGGAGATCTCTCACGTCCGCCTTGATAGCCTGCAAAAAAATAAATAACTCAGGCTTTCAACCCAGAAAATCATCTACTCACATCAATTTTGATATATTCCGGAGCAGTCCTCTCCACAATGTAATCCTCATTGAGGCTACCTTTAACGACCACCCTGTAAGAGCAATAGGGCTGCAACCCCCTGATCCTGAACTGCCCTGTAGATTCACAAGTGGTTTCTTCTGAGTACTGACTACAATTTCCCACTCCAGATGCCACTATCACCATATTGTCTTCTGGTTCTCCATTCAGGGAAACCACTTGTCCAAATGCACTAAATGCTACTCTCTTTGCTCTAAGAAATGTCACATACAGTGTGTTTAAATTTTCTCCACCCCACACCACAAAATAATATCTTATGGATGATTGGACATTTTAATTTTTTTTTTCACAAAAAATGATGTCAATTTTTTGTACTCTTGAACTTTGAGGATATTATTTTATCCTGATGAAAATGAACTCACTGTGACACTCGAAAATATGTTACAATTTTCTCAATTTTTTACTCTTTTCATTTAGGCACTGAAACTTTAATGAAGACTGTTTGCTTGTAAAGGAAATTTTGAAGAAAGGAAAAAGCGAATCTGAATGGGGTGGAAAATTAATCGAAAATTTCTAAAATGCACTTACAAGAGCTTAACATTAACAGTCTGACCTTCTTGAACTGGTATAGTCATCGATTTCGGTTCAAATTGGTACTCTTTCATCATGGGGCGCAAGAAATATTCCATTGGGCTCAAAGAATTGAAAGAAATTTGTCCATTTTCCCCACTTTGCAAGTTCTTTCGATAATTCTCGTCACCTGACAAAGATAACAGCACACCCTGAAATAGTTTTTCACTCATAGTCTTTTGCTGTATGCCATTTTATAGAATGAGTTTTGAGTTTTTGCAAGTTGAATGATAAATTACCCGTACCGATAGAGGGATATTATCAGATCCATCGACAATTTCTACTATAATTTCGGCTAACTTGTGTGCCATGAAGTTTCCACTAGCATCTGGCCCGGTAAGTACGAATGATTCCTTCTTGGCAGTTATTGTGTAGTCTTTCTTGCTGTCCAATGGTGGGAATTTGAAAACACCGCTCGAGTCCGTTTCTATCACCAAACTCTCAGTGTCTGAACTTTCAACAGTGACAGTCACTCCAGGTAGAGGTGGAATGATTTTACCCTCAAAGATCTTACCTAATAATATGGAGAATAATGCGATCTGAATACTAGTGAAAAGTGAGTGAAAATAGGCCTTTTCATTTAGATGACAAATGACTATATCTGTTTACATCTCGCATCCAACGACAGTAGCGGCCATTTTCACCGAAACACTTACACCATAGTACCACCACCAGAATTGAATTATTATAATACAATTAATATACACCAGGAATATAAAAACAAAAATACTATGTTGTTATTGTTGTTTCTCAATGACGAATGCCCATGGTGGTTGACACTGTTGACATTTGACAGAACGTCAATAATACCCGCCATATTCGAAATGGCCAATCATCAATTTGCGTTGGAACTATAGCCAATGAGACTTCACCTTCACATCACCCAATGAATTTTTGGATCTAAAAACGAGCGCATGCGTCCCAAAGATATATCTAGATGAAAAGGCCTATTCTGTGCCAAACTATGCAGGGACATATTATTATTGAAAACAATGATAATCATTTGTTAACTAAACAAAAAGGCTTATTCAGGAATTCAGGATAATATTCCTCATGAATATATCAATAACAAGAAACAATTCAAACTTTGCCAATGCCAACAGCATCTCCTCTTTGATGGAAAACAAGTCCATGTACAATGTTTTCTCAAATAAAAAACGCACATTGAAACAATAGGAAAACAAACTGATTTCTTCGTTACCATGAAATTTACCTCTTGTTGTGACAAATTGCACTCCTAAATCAACACAATCATCCCTACCATCTACCGACAAAATAGGAGGGCTGAAGAAAAGTACATCAGATTGAGGGACAACCACTGCAGTCTCCCTTGGTTCCAGTAGAATATCCAATTCATATACACCATTTCTGTATGACAAATGTCTTTCTGTTTTGTCAGTCCCGATTTTCACAGACACTTGTAATTTCCCGAAGTCAGACGCAGCTTCAATGGATAATTTCAAAGTGTGTTTATGAGCAGACAAGAGGATTTCATTAGATTCTGAGTCCGTTTTGTATGAAATAGTTTTAGGCATGTAGCTATGACAGCTTTCCATTTCAAAATTATATTCCCCAGGTTTTTCTAAGCACCTGCTAGATCTGCCTTTAGGGATTTCAAAAGATATTGATGGTAGACCCTTATTTTTCACATTCACCTAAGAAGAAAAGCAAATTTGTTGTTTTTTGGTTACACACATGGACACATACATACTTTGGTATGGTGGGAAGAGATGAAATTTAAAATATATCCTTTCTGAATGAAAGGAGGTACTTCAATTATTGCAGCATCTACTACAACAGTTTGTTTACTAATTTCCCAGCAGTATTTGTTTGATAGCAAGCTGATTTCATAATTTCCTGGATGCATATCACTCACAGTGAAAGAACCGTCTAAAAATAGTTGTGTGAGGCCAAATTGTTTCTATCATGACTGATGGTTACCTTTAATTTTCACTAAAACTTCATTTTCGTTTCCAGTTTTCAAAACCACAGTAATACCTTCACACTCTTCTTGTTGTAAACATATGACTCTTCCAGAAATTGTTGATTTAAGTTGTGAAAACATAATATTTGAAATTTTCTCTGAAGTAACTTCAATAGTCTGCTTCAATGGGAAAAATCTAAAGAAAGTGAATTGATTATACATGATTATTCATAATATGGGGAATTCAACTTCTAAGCATTTTCTATTGCTATGAGAGAAAAAAAATGTGCTAAAATGTGCAATCAGGTAAATTTTAAAGATATTTAGCAGTTTCATGAAATGTCATGTCACCAATGTGAGAACATTCATTAAATAAACACAAAATTAATTCACATCTCCACTTTACTGGACACTTACTGTATGCCACTTTGTTTCTCCTCTTCATCAACAACAACTTGAACATCATATTTTCCTGGCAATAGATACTGACAAAAACTTCCATCTATATTTGAAGTTTCAGTTTGAATAAACTTTGTACTACCAGATTTGGTGAATGTCACTATTTGGGAATGGTCACTTGTAACCATTCCACAAACTTTAAAGGCAGAAGGAATGATATTTGGTAGCTCAGGGGAACTTGGGTTTATTTGAACTAGAACTTCTTCAAAAATCAGATCCTCTGAAATAAGAATCATAAATCATTTCAAGAATATACTCTTAAAAATATACAAACCAGCTTCTGCTCTGATTTTGTAAGCTCCTGCTTTCAGTTTTTCAAGTTTGTAGTTGCCACTGGAGTCAGTCTTACCAATTTCCTGACCATTCAAAAACATTTTGACATTGCTGATTGGGACATTACTTGACCTCAATACTCTTCCTGTTATACTGAAGCCCACTATCTAAAAATTAGTGAATAATCATTTAGTAAATATTACAATAGATTTTGATGTTGGCACTTATCACCTCAAAACTTTGCTGGAGTTCCAAACTGTCATGATTGACAACAAAATCAATTTTCTCTGGTTGGAAATATATGTTTTGTCCTTTGTAGAATGGTACAATGTAATATCTATTATTTGGCAGTGATTCAAATGTAAATTTTCCATTTTCATTGGTAATGACATAGCATAAGTAATTATTTTTTGTTGGATAATCCTTCAGAGGCCCACTAATGCATCCTTCAACTGGTACATTTTGATTCTTCAGAGAAAGTCCAATTAGTATAAATATCATTCAAAACTTGAACCATTACCTTGCTAGAATAAAGAATCACAAAAGCTCCTTTGACTGGTTGTCCTTCACTTCTTACCATTCCAGAAACATCATAACCACCTATAACTAAACTATTCTTTGGTAATTCAGCATTACTTTCAGCAACTTTCACATCCACTGATTTTTTCAATATCTTCCACCTAAAGAAGAACAAATGAAAAATTTAGGAAGAGCATGAAGAACAAGCACTGACTTTGGATGAGAAATGGCAACTTTATAACTTCCTGGGAAAACTGGGGTGAAGAAAAAATTCCCGTTTTTATCAGTTGTAGTGCTCCTCCTGTCTCCACTGGAATCTAGCTGTACTATGACACCTTCAGGGCCACTTACACCTTCACTGCCCATGCTTTCAACTCTACCAGTGATACCAAAACCTTGGAAAACAAAATTTATGTCTTTTCCTTGGCTGCATAGATCACTTGTTCCATCAATAGAGAGTGCTACTCTTGTAGGTTCAAAACTCCAACCTGGGGGTGGAGACAGCTAAAAGTAAATATATTTGCATGAGGGTTCTCTCTGTGGAACATATTTCATTTCACCTCTAGAATCATATCTCCTTTATCATACAGAGGTAAGAAGTAGTAACCATTATTCGGGGCTGCACTTGTTTTGTCCTTTACAATGCCTTGCTTGGTTATTCTGAAAAATGAAAATCGCAGTACATTCAGATTTATTAGTTGGAAAAAAGGGGTACTTACAATTGAACCTCAACTTTTGAGAAATCAATTGGCACATGACTCTTTAGAAATCCTCCACAGCCCAACACTTCATCTGACTCAGTACTTGCAATGAAATTTATGGCTACAAGAGCAAATATCAGCTGCTTATTCATTTTTATGCAAGAAATTGGGAATTATCATTCAATATTTCAATTTGATTTCAAAACATTCAGAAATCTCAACATAAAATCATATTTCAATCACCGACTAAAAACATAACCAAAAACTAATAAATGACATTGTCATTGACGTTAAAGCAATCTGACAATCTACATGTTATACTTTTCTCTTTCTACCAGCAACAGCTGTCACTGTCATTTCCATATCGGGCCAATGAACTGCATGTGAACTCAAAGGTCTCATCTTGAACTCAACACGTGTGTGGCGACTATCGATAGTTTCTCACCTCTATATTCGATACGTTACTTCAAAGGTGTTACGTGGTGTTGCCAAGTGTTACTTCACGTGCAGGCGTGCAACTTCAACTTGATGAAAAAAACATAGCCAAGGCCAAAATAAAAGGGAATTTCGGTACATCATTTTATATTTTTGAAAATATTACACAAAAATTTCATAGATTAAAAACCAACTGATTAAGCAGCACAAATCCAAAAATTCAAATGCAGCATAAACTTTATGCTGAATAATTGAACTTCTGTGCTACATAATATACATATACTTTGATTTAATCCTATCACTGAATTCACACTATTTTATTAAAATCTCATTCACACTCAGCAATGAAGAAGCCAATAAATGGTTCAAAGTTCGGCTTTGGAATAGCATGGAGACATATTGTAGAGGTATATACCAACCTATTTTAGGCTACTTTGCAAAAAAATTGGGAATATTGAAAAACATATCTAACAATACATTTATGGAATATATCATTATACTGTCGTGTTGTTGACTTCAATAAAATATGGAGAGGATAAATTATACACCCAAAAACTCCAAACTCTTATTAGCCCAATACTCGATTTTTTGTATTAAATTGACTAAAAATAATAACATACAGACAATTTGTTAACTAAGCTAAGAGGACCTCCTAAAACTTTGACTCAATAATTAATCTATAAAAAATAGGAATAACGAATTAATAAAAAATTAAAACTTTGTCATTAAATAAAATAATACTCTATCCTATTTCGATTTGCACATAGATAATCCAGTCATCAAGTATAATTATATACTTTGGTATCATGAGGTTTTTGTGGAGAGGGAATGAAGTTTTTGAAACCTTCAATTCCAGGTGGAAATGAAAATCTTGAGTTTTTTCATATTCCCGACATGATGGCTGGACCTATATTGGAATTATCATAAAGGATATATAATCCAACTTCATAGTACACTCATTTATTGTGATTTGTGAAAAACGGTGATATTATATTTCACAATATTCCAACAGTGTCCCATGAAATTTGTATTACCCTGTATATAGAATATTGATATATTAAAAAAAAAGCAGATTCAAGCAGTGGTAAAAATGCTGAGTTATGTGTCCACGCCCCTATCCTAACCAGTTGGTCAAAAGATACTATTACTATAGAAAACTTCACCAATCACAGGACAATTCAAATATAGCTGCTCTTATAATTTATCAAAAAAGCATTCAATATATATACACTATCTATGACAACTCGTTCATTCACTAAATGAATTTTCACGATATACCGGAATAAATTTGAAAAAGAAAGAGAAGTTTAAAAATACAGGTTGTAAACTAATAACTGTCGCAACGGACAACGGTGGATTCCAAGACATTTTTTTCCTTTTCGAAAATTTTCTCAGAGCTTCCGTTAGGGCGTAAAGAGAAACAAAAAAAAAAGTTTTTGCTCTCATATCTCAGGAACCGTTTGAGCTACGGAGCTGAGCCTTTTCAACACACAAGGCAGAGAGTTCGTAAGGGTTTAACCTCCCAAACTATTATGCAACTGGAGACATTGTTATTTTTGAAGCACATTCTGAAGCACCGATATCACACAAAAAAAGTCCTCCTGCTTCAATGCCCTGAAGTGAACAGTTTTCGAGAAAAATGCCTTTGTTTGAACAAAAACATACACAATCCTGGTATCTCCAAAAATCGTCTAAAAATCTAAGGTATTACCACTGTAAATAAATAATCTCAAAACTGTCAAAAATTTTCAATTTGTTGAGTACTGGTTTTCAGATTGTTAAGTTATTTGGAGAAGAATTTCAAAAAAGAAAAAAATGTCTCTTACTTGTGAGAAATCTGCAGTTTTCCGTTGCGACATTTATTAACACCCTATATATGCCCAAACATACACAACAAAATAAAATGCATATATTTTTCAACAAAGACTCAATCATACATTGCTAAAAACCCCCATACATACCTACCAAAGGAATTTAAATTATGTTGAAATAGACAGAGTTTTGCTATTGATACAAAAAAAATATTACTAAAAGAAATCATTAAATTATCATTAAAATTAAAGTAGGCATCTGATAACATTTAACTTAATACCACCACTACAGGAGTGCCTAAATCTTTCGAACCATTCCCATCATGTGATATATTGATATTCTTGTTGATTATTTTTCGCAAAAAATTGTGAGTTTGGTCAGAGAATTTTTTTCTGGTCCACTAGTAGCATGGCGTCAGGTTATTTTTGTAGTGATTTAGGCTTTCAATGATGATTTTCTTTCCTTTGAAGACCCCAAGGGTCTTGTTAATAATTTTTTCTAGCAGGGAATGCGCATGCGTCCATAATGTATCACATGATTCACTGTGACAAAATGTTGGGAATGGTTCGAAAACTTTAGGCTCCCATCCACTATACTTACAGGATGTATAGAAATTTAACTTACACCACTTATTTCCATCATTCCTACCCCATACAGAAATATGGACTGGAAATAAAATTTTCATTTCTTCCCACCTTGAAAAAGAAAACATGCCGGGCATCGTGAGAGCCTCCGCTTATTTTGAAAAATTGCATATTTATGGTCTGTTCATAGAACCTCATTTATATCTGATTTATATTTAATTTAATTTATATTTACTTCAATTTAACAGCTCTATTTTCCATAAGGAGTGGATTAAATTAAATATAAGTTAAATGACCTATGAACGCATCTTAGTGAAAGGAATGCTTGAACTCTTGAGATAAGTTAAAATTAAATATAAATAATTTCTATGAACTGATGAATAAATACAAAAATACTCAAATTATACCTCTTGTGATGTATGATAATAAATAAATGTAATTCTAGGCATTTCAATTTTCCTCATAAATATTCTGAAACAATCCTCAAGTGAGTACCTGATACATTTCCTGTTGAAAAATTAATGCATTTATGTACAATGACTATTTTGATTTGTCATTTAGGACATTGCTTCATGAGAAACAAACAAATAGAAAGTGGAAATTAACATATTAATTTTGTGGTGTTATCATCACAGTTGAATTGTTAAGAAAATGAGCTGTGTCATTTTGCAATCCTGCAAATAGAAAATAAAAACAATAAATAAATTACACCTATGAAAAATATCACACATCTAAGAAGTCTTTCAAAAGAGTAGTACGTCGTTTCTCAGCAATGTCCATTTGGTTTTCCAGATCACCCCTATCAGTAGTTTCAGCTCTCTCAATTTTCCAGGACAGATTCTCGATCTCAGCCTCCAACTGGGCTTGCTGATACTCAAATAGCTCCTTGCGAGAGCCACCATCCATGTAATAGGCATAGGGATATGTATACTGTAATGTGTACCTACATTTGGCCAGCAGATTTGCAGCAGTGAACAAATATTGCCAGTCAATCCAGGTACCCAAACCTGACATCACTTTCTGGTTGATGCGGGACCTCAGTTTCTCCAAAGTCTGCTCTTCCAACTTCAGAGATTTTGAATGATTCTCCCATCTCTCATAGTAGTGCAAATATTTTTTCAAAGCTTCCCTGGCCTAAAAATCAGATTATTTATTTCCATCTCATTAGCTTAGATTGGATTAGCTTTTCAATGATAATTATGGTAGCTAACCTGAGCATGAACAGATTCATGAGCAATATTTGGATTCTCCCTGTATCTGGAACACTCATAGTACTCTGAACCATGTGACTTCCAGTCACCAAGACACATCCAACAAAAATCATGTTTACAGTTGTAACACTGCATGTGATTGCATCCCCCATTCTTCTCTATACATATGTGGCACTTTGGACAATCTTTGGTGTGTGCACTTATGTAGTTTGCAGTCTCACTATCATCTGCACATTTTGTCAGCCATTTCTTGATCACCTGGCATTCTGTGGGTGCATGATAATCACACCCACATCTGAAGGCAAAAAAAATGGTTTTTGTAAAACATGGTGGCTGATTTTGAGGAAAAAAAGAATTATAATTATTTTTATTACACATCATTAGAATTGGGTTTGAATTTTGGATCAAGTTACAAGAGTTCACCCACATATTTATCAAAGTTGAATGATATAAATTTGGAAAATCTGTAGGAAGACCCCCCTCTTGTTCAAAACCTATAAATATTGTCACAACAGGATAGACAGAAAAGCAAGATAGACATTAATTTTTATTGGCTGAATCTCCATAGTTCTGGTACTAACCTGAAGCAGAAAATAGTTTTACATTGACTGCATGTTGTCCTCTTTGCTTTGGGTTCTTGGCTATGAACAACAATGGAACAATTGGGACCTGGACAGAACTTCAATTCTGGATGAGACTTGACATAATCTTGGAAAGAAAATTGCTGATATTTTTCCCTCATATTGGGGCGATGTAAGTGTTTCAGAACAAAATCTTCAGGTGCTAAAACTTTACACTCCCTAGCCATACATGCTATACTGGTTGATATTCCCTAAAAATGCATAGTTTGAAGGAAATTCTAAGAGCTTGAATAAATAATGTTTTACCTGATTTATTTGAACTTCAAAATGCATTGTCCAACAATCTTTACAGAACATATGTGCACAAGATAAGCTATAGAACTTGTCAAAGGACTGTGAGGTTACACAAACAGGGCAGTTGATGTACCTGCTGAATGTCAGACTTATTGGAGGTGATGGTGGCTTGATTCGAGATGCAATAAGGGTTTGTGTGGGATTCTCTTTAAATTTTCTTGTTACTTCTTGAATGTTCCATTGATGACTATGTAATAGTACCTTCAATAAATTTTATGGAATTCTCATTCTGGAAAATCTTTGATAGAACTTACTTTTGCCAGTGAAGGAGAAATTTGGTGCATGTTACTCAATGTTTCAACAGTTTCATTTAGTAACCTGTCCACTTGTTCTTCAAAGAGACAATTGAATTCAAAGTACTCAGGATCAATTTTCCTTGGATCAATTTGTTCAATATCGATATCATCGTTCAGGGTGTAATAATATTCATCATAATATTCATTATCAGAGCAATCCATATCTGATTCACCCCCCTGAGAGCTAGTCATTGTATCTTCCATTTTTCGTTAAAACTGACACCCGAATGCTAAATTCATATTAACATATTTGCAATATTTATTGAAGATTATACGCAAAAATGAAAATAGTTCTTTTAAAAACTTCAAAAGGTCCAAAATGATCACCTGTTTACATACAATTTAACATGTCAAATTTCAGTCGCCATTATATTTATTTACCTCATAGGATAGGCGAATTCTATTGGTAAAACTGGCTCGCACAGCGCACTGAGTGCAAATCTTGTACATATTCCATTGGTTAAACTGGTGTCGTTCCATTGGAAAACTGATTCACATAATTCAGAGCTCAGTGCAACAATTCTCGCACGAGCTCAAATGGTCGTGCGAAGTTAGTGCAGTTTTGAATTTGGTGGAAAGCCAAACTGTCAGTGGCAATCTAATCATCATCATCAAATAGTGATGAAAAGTTGGAGGTTTCAAGAAAATAATGGAGATTACCTCCCAGTTTTCATAACTTTGTTGAGTGTTTTGCATTAATTAGATGATGAAGAGGTATCAAAAAAAGCTGAAAATTATTTTCATGAAACATCTACTTTGTTTTTAATTGAGGTTAAGAACTTGTTGCCCTCTGTTTTGATCCGTTTACGGCACAAATTCACAATTTGATACCTGAAACGAGCCTTCTTTTTTTGGAGCGCACGAAAGGAAATTCCTATAATGTTCGTGAAACATCGTGCGTACCTAGGGAGGATAGGGAGATGAGGAGTTGGTGTTGGAATTTGTTTCGAACTTTTGGAGGTTATAAGTTCTTGGGAAAGCTTCGCCCACGGTCGATATTGAAAAAACTATCATTGAAAGCGAATCACTATCGGCCCCAATAGTAGATGCCTGCACAGTATTTTTTCGATTAATCACTTAAGTGGCTTATATTTGATGAGAGTTTTGATGGCAGTTCGTTTCAAATTCCCAACAAGCTCAAAAAATCATATAAAGATCATGTGATCTGACGTCACTGATTTGATTTGTATGATCCAGTAGGAGCAATAAATCTCTTGCTCAACTCAAACAAACAGAAAGCATTTTGACAATGAACACAGTGTGTGTGTATGACACCGAATGGGTTATGGGATCATTGCTACACAATCTACTCTGGTGTACAATATTGTAGTTATTGGAGGCAAAGCGAACAGACCTTTAGGTGAAAGTAGTAGATATGCAGTGCTGCCAACCTCCCCGATATATCGGGAGATCTTCTGATTTTCTGCATTTTCTTCCGACAGAGAGATTATGGACAATCTACCGATATTCAGAGAGGATCATATAGATAATCTACCAATTTTCAGTCGAATAGTTGAAATCTCTTGATTTTGGAGGTGTTTCTTGTTCCTATAGTGAAAGAATGAATAATGATTACTAATTTTTATTTATTGTTGAAATTTTAAATCATTTATTTTAATATTCTTATACCTACTATGAATACAGCAATTTTTCATTAAAACTTTTCAAGTTTTCACAATCTAAATAGCCGTTGGGCCCTGCTGGGTCTAGACTTTTATAAGAAGTTCTGTGGGTTGTAGGGGGCATGTAGGAGGGATAATAATATTGCAGAATGTTTTATTGATTATATGATTATCGTGTTTCATGTTTATTAGTATGATGTTATCTTTCTTATCATAACATTGATTAGTTCCTTTTTTGTAGGTAAAAATTATATTTTAAATGTCTAGAATTTAGAATTTATCCATCGAATTATATGTTAATCCCAAAATCCACAGTTCTGTCACTTCTACAGTTCTACCAGTTCTACCCAAGATCTATCTGTTTGTTAAAAATAAAAACACGTCTGTTTCTCTCTCCCCATCTTTGTTGTATTAATACTTTAGAGCGGATTATCCATCTCTTTTTTCCATTTGATCAAGTGGAGTTGCAAAGTGCTAATGGTGACAGTTTTAATAAATAAAATAGAATTAGGAAACCATCAAATTGTGAAAAAATGTCTCATTTTCACAAGGTAGAAGTAAACAAGACAGTTTGGGAAGTTCCGGAGAGATATCAAGCCCTTCAAGCAGTTGGATCCGGTGCATATGGACAAGTTTGGTAGGTAAATTTGTGACACTTTTATTAATGAGACACCCTGACACCCACTATTCAGCATTGTTGGAAAATATGTTCACAGGCGAATTCAACCCTTTCGCAATTTCCTGTAGCTAAAAAAGTATAAAATTAACTGGTGATCAGGGACATAATTATAAAAGAAGAGTCTCAAATATTTTGAGGTTAGAAATTTGAAATGCAAACCTTCACCTACTTTATTTTTCAATTTTCTTGCACATTAAAATATTTCATATCTTCACTGCACCTCTTTATTCATTCTCCCATTCGTTTATTCTTTCAATTTTTGTGTATTTAACATCTCCATACATACAAAACTTTTACTTAGCTTTTCTATTTCAGTGAATATAGGGTGCCTATCATTTATATTCTTACATAATTTACTCTTCATCAAAAATGCATTCAACATTACCAATATTCTGCATGTAAAAAAACTATTTATAGACCTGACATAAAAATAGACAATTTTTTTTCAGTTCTGCATTGGATACTGTAACTAGTAAAAAGGTAGCAATAAAGAAACTAGCCCGTCCATTTCAGACTGCAGTACATGCTAAACGAACCTACAGAGAATTAAAATTACTCAAGCACATGAGGCATGAAAATGTCATCGGGTTGCTGGATGTATTTTACCCCAGGCATGATAACAGCCAGGTTAGACAAATCAGACTGTCTAATGAATTTAGATAATCTTGACTCATTTACTTTTTCAGATATATTTAGTGACACATCTCATGGGAGCTGATTTGAATAATATAATAAGAACTCAGAAGCTAACTGATGATCATGTACAATTTTTAGTATATCAAATTCTACGAGGCTTGAAATACATTCATTCTGCAGGGGTTATTCACAGAGTGAGTCAGTAGATTGCTGTTCACTTTCCCACTTAGCTGGTTCATTTTTGTAGGATTTGAAACCATCGAATATAGCAGTTAATGAAGATTGTGAGCTGAAAATATTAGATTTTGGCCTTGCTAGGCCTACAGAAACTGAAATGACTGGATATGTAGCTACTAGGTGGTACAGAGCCCCAGAAATTATGTTAAACTGGATGCACTACAACCAAACTGTTGATATTTGGTCTGTTGGGTGTATCATGGCAGAATTACTAACTGGAAAAACCCTGTTTCCTGGAACAGACCGTATCCTATGACAAAAATTGACATTTCTATGGTTATACTTGCATTGAACTCATCTTACAGGATTCTCTACAAACTATCATTTTCCTTAATTTTTCACAGATATTCATCAGCTGAACCTCATTATGGAAATTTTAGGCACACCAAGTGATGAATTCCTGAAAAAAATAACATCAGAAAGTGTAAGTGATTTATTTGCTTGATGAAGTGTAGTTCACTATATACTCATAAGAATACCCTATTTTCCTGATTCCTTGGTGAATTGATCAAGGTTGCATGTGCAGATGTTATTTTAATTAGCATGCAATAAAAGTAAGCTCCTCAAAACACTTCTTTTCACCTTCTGGGTGCTCAATTAATTGTCAATTAATCAAACATTTGGTAATGATTATTGCATCTCTTCAGAATGAAATTCTACAGAGGATGATCAAAGCTGTGCATTTTTTCAAGAATTTCAAAGTCATCCTGTTTAGAAGGAAAATTCTTATTTTTTCTGAAGTTAAAAACATACCGTCTGTTTTAATAATGTTTTTTCAATTTAGTTGCATAATTGTTTTGTTGGGGTTCACCCTGTATCAATTCATATAATTGTCATGCGTCATATCAAGATTTTTGACCACCATTTGCGTCACAACACATTTTTTTCAACTTAGTGGCATAATTGTTTTTTGAGAACCACCCTGTATCAATGCATATAATTATCATGCATCATTTCGTGATTTTTGACCACCATTTGCGTCACAACACATTTTTTTCAATTTAGTGGCATATTTGTTTTTTGAGGACCACCCTGTATCAATGCATATAACTGTCATGCATCATTTCAGGATGGTTTGGGGAGAAAATAAGATTATTTTGAGAGAGGCGTGGGAAAAAATCGATTTATCGATATATAATTTCAAAAATATCAATTTATATCGATATATCAATAAGTATCGAGATATCGATATATCGAACTTATCAATATGTTTTCACTTATCCATAAGTGAAATCTGATATCGCGCAGCCCTAGTTGCAATGATTGCTTACTTACATGGGATTGAAAACAGTTAAAATTCAAATAAAGTAGACGATAACAGAGTTAGATTCATATTTTGGTATTTACTATCTGTAGTTCAGAGGTTGCCCTTTCTTAATGAATCATCCTGTATAACATAATATCGAAAGCATAGGTATTGATGAAAGTTGATGAACATTTTGAGATAATTCTTATCAATAAAATTACAAGAGGAAGAAATCCAATATTCTATTCAGTATCATTATTTGTAGGCTAGAAGTTACATAAAATCGCTCGCAGTACTACCTAAGAAAGACCTGCACTCGTACATTGTCGGTGCTAATCCATTAGCTGTAGATCTTCTCGGCCTAATGTTAGAGCTAGATAGCGAGAGACGTATTACCGCCGAACTAGCCCTAGCACATCCTTACCTGGGTGCCTATGCAGATCCGCATGATGAGCCAATATCGGCGCCTTATGATCAAAGCATCGAAGATATGAATTTACCAGTGGAAAAATGGAGAGGTAAAACGAAATTTCTACCAACAACTGCATATTATTGATGAAATCATTGAAATCAGAATGAAAATTTTATGATTAACTAGCTGACCCGTCAAACGTTGATTTGCTATTTACATTATTTCTTGAGAATATTTTTTCAGTTGAATATTTACCAACACTCTTTCATTATTGTATTTTCTACTCCTCTTTAGTTTGGCTATCCCGAGGGCTATCCATAAAAGCGTGTTTTTCTTGAGTTTTCAAACTACAATTTAGTTTCTACTTCTTTCTAGTTTGACTATCAGTAAATGCGGATTTCATCAGTTTATTTATTACAAAGCTCCTTCGCCATATTGTATCCGCCCTTGATTTTCCCAATTTTGACGAAAGAATAATAATTTCCGACCCCTACAACCCCAGGCACCAATATTGAATAGAATCGGATCATAATTACAAAACTCGACCACCATATTGGATCCGCCATCTTGAATTGTCCAATTTTGACGAAAAAATCATAATTTTTGACTCCGGTAACCCTCAGATATCCATTTTGAATAGAATCGAATCATATTTACGGAACTCGTCTGACACATTGGACCCGCCATTTTGTATTTTCCAATTTTGATGAAAGAATCAAAAGGCCGTTTCTTTTGTACGAAAAGTGCAGCACATTCGTACACTTCGTGTGGTTTACACCTTATTTGAGCAGTGTAGTTTATCTCGACCAGGTCTTGGGCAGGTGTGAATTACACTCGAATTAAATATAATTAATAAAATCGCGATAAATGACTCGAAATACATATGTTATTATATTTTTATCAGATATAACACCTGACCTGCACTGGGAAATCAGTTGAATCAAATACCATATTTTAAAATTAACTCTGTTCACTTTTACACTTTTCCTCATCAATCAAATTTTCTTCATTCGTTTGAAATTCGTCGGTGTAGCTGCACGAAATATCAGCTGATTCATAGTGTAGTGCATATTATACGACACTGAAAAGCAGACGTAAGAACCAATAATCTTCTACCCTGGAAACCACTCAGATACCAATTTTCAGTAGAATTGGATCATAATTACAAAACTCGTTCGATCAACCATCTTGAATTCAAAAAATAGTTTACGATCGGGAAGGATAATTTGTACTACCCGTTTTTCCGTAGGAATGAAGCATTTCCCGCGGTTTCCAAATCGGTCCAGTAGTGTCGGGTGGTCTCGGAGCCTATTCAAAACAAACAAACAAATACATTTTTCCTCTTTATAATATTAGCATTGATTTGTTCTATATCGGAAACTGGAACCTTTAGCATGACAATCACACCACACTGTTTTATCACTAACCAAACCGAGTTTTTATGCCACGACACGTGTTTTGCTAATTATATTAGCATCTTCTGAATAAGAATAAAATTATGTCGAGGCCTTGAAATATCGTTTGGTCAGTGGTAAAATATTGTAGTGTGATTAATTATTGTACTGTTTTGTGTTTTTCAGAATTGGTGCTACAAGAAGTCAATTCTTTTGTTTATATTTCTCCTCTGAATGAGGAGAAATAATATTTGGATTGAAGGTACTAAAACGAATATTGATTTGATTATTGTTATATTGTAATTGATTTTCAATTGATTGATCCATAATATTGATGTTAATTTTTTCAGTTATCAAAAATTGTATAGGAGGGATGTTGTTTTTGGAGGAATTTTATTGAGTACCTACTTATGTGATGATCTTTTTCTAAAATTTATAACCTATGGAATATTATTTAATTAACGTAAATAATTTACCCTAACGAAAACTAATTGTTATACTGATGAAATTCCATTCAAAAAAAATTTAATTTAAATTTTTATGATGTACAAATTTTTTTATAGCAATATCATTATTGAGGAACAATGATTCCTATATACAGGGCGTCCTTGGTTATCCTACAACTTCGATTAGAAAACCATACTTAGGGTATTTTTGTCCACTAGAATTATTTGCTAGTTCATAATAAGTATTTTTGTCTCAAAGTTGTAGGATAAAGACACAGCCAGTAGCCGACCTTAAACACGACCCTGTATACGATTGTAAATGTTGATAGATATCGATGGAATATAAAGAACAAACATTCATATATATATATTTTAGCAATGTTTTCTTGTGAAATATGCATTGGTTTGAAGATGTTGATAATTTTTGGAGTAATTTTCTCAAGAATTCAGGATTCATGTCATCATGTCATGTTCACTTTCTAACCCATATATAAACTTATTTAACGAGAATAATTTATCCTAATAAGTTATGGTTCTAATGAAGAGAATAAATTGATTTGAAAAGTGATTTCTGTGTACCTTTAATTAGTTTAAGGCCTTACCTTTTAACGTGTGATCCCAAACACTTTCTTAGGCCATCAGAAAAAGTCTGCGTTCGTGGGACTCGAACCCACGATAGATACCTCGACGTGAATCGATATTGAAGCATCGAAGCACTGAGGTACGCCGGCCTACCGGATTAGGGGTATAAATTAGTTTGAATGTTCAAAAATTTAGAATTTTGAACTGAAATCAACAAGTTATAACAAATTTAGAGTTTTATTTTGTTAAAACTTTACAAAGATATTTACATCGATATTTCTCACCGATAGATTCTAAAACTAAAATATAAAAAACAGAGTTTTTGTATTTACATTATGATATGATACAAAATAATTATTGCATGAAGTTGAAATGAAAAATATTGATGTTCCCTCGGCAATTCTATTGCCAAGACGGAGAGGGATGTTCAGTTCTAACCTAGATGAAATACATTAATTTAACGAAAATGATTTATATCAATGAAAAATACTGTTCATAATGAAAAAAATTAAACTAATCACATGCCTATACTGCTTTTTTGATCAGAAAGAAGAGCCCATATCACGATCACTTTTTACACTTTGCAACGTCATGCAGTTTCTTCCACAAGTCGTATTGCTCAGCACTCTTCACCATGTGAATGCTAATCTCCTTCTGTATATTGCAAGGAGTGAAAGAAACTCGCTTGTTCAGAAATTCAGGCGCATGTACCCGTTTGATATTCAATCCGTTTGCTACGATCCCAGTAACGAACACGTCCTCCAACTTGAAATACGTGTAATTCAGCGCTGCTACGTAGAGGTCTTTGGATATTTTAGCTGGAAACAGGTACGCAGGCCCAGTAGTGAAGTCCGGAAAAACCGCCGGCTTGTACTGCTGCGGGGAAATATAATACTTGGATTTTTTGCTCCTGATAGGCTTCCACTTCCTGGCCAGCCGGCCGTATATCGCTCTCTGTTCAGGCTTATGTTTGGCGATGAAAGCGAGCAGACGAGACACGTTTATGAACATGTCGTCGTCCGTTTTAAGTACGAATTGGGCCTTGGGGCAGAACCTGTCCACCCACTCCAGCATCGATATGGTCTTCAAAGTGAGATTGTCGTAGGTGTCGACGAACTTTCCCTGAATGATGTCGCCGAAGATTCCTTGTTCTTGCTCGAGGTTCTTGTTCACGGTTTGATTCGAGGTGGCTCCCAACATGAAGGCTATGGCTATGTCTTTTCGTATGGCAAAGTGGCCCCAGGTTTCTCTCACTGCTAGTCTGGCGGTCTCGTGGCTCGGCGCCGACGTGATCGCAATCAGAAGCCTCAGATTTCTGCCCAGGTCGGGGCAAATCTGCGAGTTCACGTCCATGTGTCCGGCTTCGTAGATTATTTCAGCAGCTACACCTGAAAAATTCGGGAATATTTCAGACACTTGGCCAAAAATTTAACGCACCACCAAAAAGTATACAAAAGTTTGAGATACCTAAGGTTTGTTCGTGCTCCAAATTGTTGAAACGGTCCTTATTGGACTGCGCAGTATCATGTGCGCATCAAATTCAATTTTCAGGCATTTTTGCGATTTTTGCAATTTTCAGGCATTTTTGCGATTTTTGCAATTTTCAGGAATTTTTGCGATTTTTTCAATTTCCAGGAATTTTTGCGATTTTCGCAATTTTCAGGAATTTTTTGCAATTTTCAGGAATTTTTGCGATTTTTGCAATTTTTACAATTTTCCGGAAATTTTGCATTTTTCCGGTATTTTTCCAATTTTCAGGAATTTTTGAAATCTTTACAATTTTCAGGAATTTTTCCAATTTTCAGGAATTTTTGCAATTTCTGCAATTTTTGCGATTTTCGCAATCTTCAGAAATTTTTTTGCAATTTTCAGGAATTTTTGCAATTTTAGCAATTTTCAGGAATTTTCGCAATTTTCAAGCATTTTTGCGATTTTTGCAATTTTCAGGCATTTTTGCGATTTTTGCAATTTTCAGGAATTTTCGCAATTTTTGCAATTTTCAGGAATTTTTGCGATTTTTGCAATTTTTACAATTTTCCGGAATTTTTGCAATTTTTGCATTTTTCAGGAATTTTTCCAATTTTCAGGAATTTTTGCAATTTCTGCGATTTTTGCAATTTTCAGGAATTTTTGCAATTTTGCAATTTTCAGGAATTTTTGCGATTTTTGCAATTTTTACAATTTTCCGGAATTTTTGCATTTTTCAGAAATTTTTCCAATTTTCAGGAATTTTCAGGAATTTTGGCAATTTCTGCAATTTTTGCAATTTTTAGGAATTTTTGCAAATTTTGCAATTTTCAGGAATTTTTGCAATTTTGCAATTTTCAGGAATTTTTGCAATTTTTGCAATTTTTACAATTTTCCGGAATTTTTGCATTTTTCAGGAATTTTTCCAATTTTCAGGAATTTTTGAGATTTTTACAATTTTCAGGAATTTTTCCAATTTTCAGGAATTTTTGCAATTTCTGCAATTTTTGCGATTTTTGCAATCTTCAGGAGATTTTTGCAATTTTCAGGATTTTTTGAAATTTTAGCAATTTTCAGGAATTTTTGCAATTTTCAGGCATTTTTGCGTTTTTTGCAATTTTCGGGAATTTTCGCAATTTTTCGGAGTTTTTGCAATATTTGCATTTTTCAGGAATTTTTCCAATTTTCAGGAATTTTCCTAATTTTCAGGAATTTTGGCAATTTCTGCAATTTTTGCAAATTTAAGGAATTTTTGCAATTTTTGCAATTTTCAGGAATTTTTTGCAATTTCCGCAATTTTTGCAATTTTCAGGAATTTCTGCAATTTCCGCAATTTTTGCAATTTTAGCAATTTTCAGGAATCTGCAATTTTCAGGCATTTTTGCGATTTTTGCAATTTTCGGGAATTTTCGCAATTTTTCGGAATTTATGCAATATTTGCATTTTTCAGGAATTTTTCCAATTTTCAGGAATTTTCCTAATTTTCAGGAATTTTTGCAATTTCTGCAATTTTTGCAATTTTCAGGAATTTTTGCAATTTTTGCAATTTTCAGGAATTTTTGCAATTTTCAGGAATTTTTGCAATTTTCAGGAATTTCTGCAGTTTTTGCTATTTTTGCAATTTTCAGGCATTTTTGCGATTTTTGCAATTTTCAGGAATTTTTGCGATTTTTGCAATTTTCGGGAATTTTTTTAATTTCCAGGAAATTTTGCAATTTTTGCTATTTCTGCAATTTTCAGGCATTTTTGCGATTTTTGCAATTTTCAGGAATTTTTGCGATTTTTGCAATTTTCAGGAATTTTGCGATTTTTGCAATTTTCAGGCATTTTTGCGATTTTTGCAATTTTCAGGAATTTTTGCAATTTTTGCAATTTTCAGGAATTTTTGCGATTTTCGCAATTTTCAGGAATTTTTGCAATTTTCAGGAATTTTTGCAATTTTCAGGAATATTTGCAATTTTCAGGAATTTTTGCAATTTTCAGGCATTTTTGCGATTTTTGCAATTTTCAGGAATTTTTGCAATTTTTCAATTTTGCAATTTTCAGGAAGTTTTGCGATTTTTGCAATTTTTACAATTTTCCGGAATTTTTGTATTTTTCAGGAATTTTTCCAATTTTCAGGAATTTTTGAAATTTTAACAATTTTCAGGAATTTTTCCAATTTTCAGGAATTTTTGCGATTTTTGCAATTTTCAGGAATTTTTGCAATTTCTGCAATTTTTGCAATTTTCAGGAATTTTTGCAATATTTGCAATTTTCAGGAATTTTTGCAATTTTTGCAATTTTCAGGAATTTTTGCAATTTTCAGGCATTTTAGCGATTTTTGCAATTTTCAGGAATTTTTGCAATTTTTGCAATTTTCAGGAATTTTTGCGATTTTTGCAATTTTTCCAATTTCCGGAATTTTCGCATTTTTCAGAAATTTTTCCAATTTTCAGGAGTTTTTGAAATTTTTACAATTTTCAGGAATTTTTCAAATTTTCAGGAATTTTTGCAATTTCTGCAATTTTTGCGATTTTCGCAATCTTCAGGAATTTTTTGCAATTTTCAGGAATTTTTGCAATTTTAGCAATTTTCAGGAATTTTTGCAATTTTCAGGAATTTTCGCAATTTTTGCATTTTTAAGAATTTTTGCGATTTTTGCAATTTTTACAATTTTCCGGAATTTTTGCAATTTTCGCATTTTTCAGGAATTTTTCCAATTTTCAGGAATTGTTCTAATTTTCAGGAATTTTGGCAATATCTGCAATTTTTGCAATTTTCAGGAATTTTTGCAATTATTGCAATTTTCAGGAATTTTTGCAATTTTCAGGCATTTTTGCAATTTTCAGGAATTTTTGCGATTTTTGCAATTTTTACAATTTTCCGGAATTATAGCAATTTTTGCATTTTACGGGAATTTTTCCAATTTTCAGGAATTTTTCCAATTTTCAGGAATTTTGGCAATTTCTGCAATTTTTGCAATTTTCAGGAATTTTTGCAATTTTTGCAATTTTCAGGAATTTTTGCAATTTTCAGGCATTTTTGCGAATTTTGCAATTTTCAGGCATTTTTGCGATTTTTGAAATTTTCAGGAATTTTCGCAATTTTTGCAATTTTCAGGAATTTCTGCGATTTTTGAAATTATCAGGAATTTTTACAATTTTCAGGAATTTTTGCGATTTTTTCAATTTTCAGGAATTTTTTTAATTTCCAGGAAATTTTGCAATTTTTGCTATTTCTGCAATTTTCAGGCATTTTTGCGATTTTTGCAATTTTCAGGAATTTTTGCGATATTCGCAATTTTCAGGAATTTTTGCGATTTTTGCAATTTTCAGGAATTTTTGCGATTTTCAGGCATTTTTGTGATTTTTGCAATTTTCAGGAATTTTTGCAATTTTTGCAATTTTCAGGAATTTTTGCAATGTTTACAATTTTCCGTAATTCTTGCAATTTTTGCAATTTTCAGGAATTTTTGCAATTTTCAGGAATTTTTGCAATTTTCAGGAATTTTTGCAATTTTCAAGAATTTTTGCAAT